TCCTCCTCCTCCTCCTCCTCCTCCTCCTCCTCCTCCTCCTTCTTTCTGTTTTAAAGTTGTCATTTACAGCATTATAGCCTCTCCCCCCACACCTCCTTCCCTTCCTCCCTCCCCACCCAGGTCAGGTAAGCGCAGGGAGGTGTATAGAGTCACCTTTGGGAGCCTATCTCATAATCACAATATAAAATACTTTCTTAGAAGTGGACTTTCCCAGCAGTGGCGCCCACCCGTCTGAAATACCCTCCAGTGTTTGTAAGTCACCCCCCAAAATGTTTGATGACTTTTAATCCGGTCAGGGAGGTTGTCTTTTCTTCTTTCTTGCCTGCTGTCCGCCTTGCCGAACTTCCCAGTCTTTATAGTCGTACACAGCAGCGCCTCTGCCACTCTGGGTTGCAATTTGCTTCCCTTGGACCGATGTTTTATATTTATTGGACATTATCCCCATCTTTTGCTCCCTTTTCTGCCAACTTATTCTTAGTGATTTTTTATCATATTTTACTTAATGACTCCAAGAAGCCCTTTCTATAGATAAACCTCTTGTAATGGTAATTTTTTTTCAGGTCTTTTTTTTGCCACTTTTTGTTTTCTTTCAGTCAGGTTTTAATTCTTAAAAGGCAGCGTTCCTTAGATTTTTTTTTTCCCCCTTGGTGTGTGTTTGGCAAGGAAAAGCACTGGAAACTTGAGATGGACAAACATGCCTGGAGTGGGCAGGAAGATGCGGTTGTGCAGCAGCTGGAGTTCACGGGAGACCCGGTGTGAGCAGTTATACACATCACACACATTCCACAGAAGTGTGAGCAGTTATACACATCACACACATTTCGCAGAAGCTTAGTGGTCTTTTGTCTGCTCTAGTTTGGACTCTATTTGGAAGGAATTTTAGTTCTGTGCCTGTTTCCTTTTATGCTTTGTTATTTGAGGTTCTAACTTCTGAAATTTCTTTTGTTTGTTTTTCAATTTTAGATTGCAGATTATAACCCATTTCCTGCACCATTGCTGACGCCCAGAGATCCATGTCAGAAGTACTTCCAGGTCAGATATGATTTTACATTCTTCAGTACGCAGAAACAGTTGAACATCAAGCTTGATAATGTGATGGTTATTTTAATGTTAAGCTCCTGTTTGCTAAAGTGGCATTTATAAATTTTCATGGTTCATTATGCTATAACAGAAAAAGTAGGTATTTAAACAATAAAAAGTCACTTGAACATCACCATGTGTGTGCTGTTCACCACTGGTGTCTTGTAAAAAGATTCCAGTTGACTGTGGCGGGAAATTGAAGCTCCGTCTTCACCGCCTGGCATTGTGTGTCACCTGTGGACCGCTGACCGCTGGTGGAGAAGGTGCTGCTGCTGAGGCTTTGTAAGCAGCACCCAAGTCACAGGACTTGTCAGGACTAGAGTTCCCCCGCTCAGGATTCTCCGTGTCTCTAAGTCTGATTAATTTCAGGCCTGAGCAAGACTGCCTTGACTTTACTGCATCTTCCTCTCTTCATGTCACGACACACGCTGGTCTGCACACCACTGTGTGTGTGGGGTTTAATTTTTGACCTCGGGATAATATAACGAAAAAGCTATTGTGGTAACTCTTTGATAAGCTCTAGAACTGAGTGGCAAACAGCCTCTCTGTTTCCCCGGACAGGTACCAGTTCTGAGATTTTTTTAGTTAGACTTAACCATGGACCGGTGTCTTTAAATTCTAACGTTAACCTTATCGTTAAATTGTCTCTATTACCTAGAACTCTGCGCATTACATTTTCTACACAGCGGTTAAAAAAAAAAATCCAAGTGAGCACTGAGCTTGGCATTAGTATATGAAGGGCATGAAGTTCACTTTTTTTTGGATTTATTTGTTTTTATTTTGTGTCTATGTGTGTTCTGCTTGCATGTGTCTGTGTATACCACATATGTGCCTGGTGCCTGCAGGGGTCCTAAGAGGGCCCTGGAATCCCTGGAACTAGAATTACAGATGGTTATGATTATGAGTCACCATGTGGGTGCTGGGAATGGAAGAGCTCAGGTCCTCTGCAAGAGCTCAAGTGCTCTTAACCTCTGAGCCCTCTCTCCAGCCCTAAGAAACCCGCTTTTCCTAAGGGAAAGAAAAACAGTGGAGAAAAATATGATCAATCTAAGCTCATGCAGGATAGTCAGAAACTTAAGTTGATTCTCAGAGGTCCCAAGTTATGCTGCAGTGGCTTGAACAGGGAGTAGATTTTGAATAAATATTTCCTTAAACATGTATGTTAATTTTAGAAACCCAAAACAAATTATATGTCCTTTCAAAAGGACCTCTTAGGTCATCTTAATGGGATGGCTTACGCTCCCATGGTGCAGAGGAGGAATGGTCACATGTACCCACCTGGGGTTCTACCACCCACGCCCTGTTGCTCTTCATACACGAGGTGTCGGGTGTAGAAAGGTGCTTGAGTAGATAGGAGGGGCGAAGTTAACTGGGATCAGAACTCTATGGCACAGTCTATTAGGTTGTGACCTATGATGGGATGGGACGTCTCAGAGATGCAGCTGTCTTAGAATTGCACACATTGCTGTGAGGCATCCCTCCCATGTTCCTGTAAGTAAGCCTAGCAAACCCACCAGTTCACCAAATAATAACTGATAGGTAAACGATACACTTTACGTACCAAGAATAATTCCTTTTAGCAATCTTGTATGTTCATGCAGTAAAATAGATCCAGGATCAAAACAATAAAAGAACGAGGCCAGAAAATATGTGAAGTAATGTGCTTCCATCTACATGGAGGGAACCTTCCTCCTGTCTCTGTATTCTGTTGTTCAGATGTACCCATCCTCTGGAGGTATTCAAATTGCTTTATTATTCCTTGGTGGCTATATAACTGCCTTAATTATTGCCCTCATGCTGTGAAAAGACTCTATGACCACAGCACCTCATAAAACAAAGCATTTAATTGGGGGCTAGATTACAATTTCAGGGGTTTAGTCCATTATTCTGGCAGAAAGTATGGTGGTGTGCAGGCAGACATGGTTCTTGAGAAGTAGCTGAGGGTTCTGTCCAGATCCACGGGCAGCAGAAAGAGAGAGTGCCACTGGACCTGACTTGGGCTTTGATACCTCAAATTCCATCCCCAGCGACACATGTCCTTCAACAAGGCCCCACCTCCTAAGCCTTGTCACGTAGTGCCACTCCCTGATGCCTAAGCATTCAAATATATGAGCCTGTAAGGGCCATCTTATTCAAACCACCACAATAAGGTACAGGAACAGTTATCAAGCTTAATTTTTAAAAGAAAGCTAATGATACTGTCGGTGTTGGGGTAGCAGGTATCAAAATTTAGAAGAAAAGTAAGTGTTGTATTTCCATCGTGTCTTGTTCTAAGTTCCCCACTCCACTCCCAGAAAGTCACGTGGCAGCTGGTGAGGGGTGAACGGACCAGCACCTCAGATGAGGTCTGCCTTCAGTTGCACTGTCTAGCTCCAGGGAGTTGTGACCACAGGGGACCTTTCTAAAGCAAACCTTCCAGAAAGTTCCTGTCTGTCCTTGAAGGTTGAGCTCAGATGTGCCTTCTGAGCAGGTCTCAGTACTGGCACAACAAAGTGAAGTAATCTTCCTGTTTCATAGATTTTGCTGTTTGCTTTTTCTTAATGTTATTTCCCTTTTGGAATTGGTTTGAAAGCCGACTGATCGGTTGCTCAAGAAAGCGTGTATTGTTCCTTTGCAGCACTCTAAGTTCTCTGTCCGCATCAGTGTTCCCACGCTCAAGCATTGACTGTGTTCATCAGACGTGACCATGGAAGTCTGGAGTGTCATTAAAAATAGATTCATCTATAAAAGACACAAGAGAGTTTTCCAAAGCATGGATGTAGTAGCTTAAAGATGAACGGAGAGAAGTATCGTTGGGCTAGGGGTCACATCTGCATAGTTCCTAATTCTCACCCAGATGTACCTGTCCTGCTTTGTGTTTCCCAAGTAGCCGTGCACCACATCTGCCAGGTGTGATGTTTTCCTTCTTGGCCACCTATGGCTTCCTGCCTAGCTCGCAGGCTAATTCAACATTCCCTTCTTTGAGAAACCGCTTGACTTCTGTGTGCATCTCAAATACCATGTATTGATAAATACCCTTTGCCCCTTCAGACACTGTGAGTTTGGGTAATAATTTCTCACTGTCTGACTCAGGTTGAGCTTTTAAAAAAAACACGTCATATTCTTTTTAATAGCTATGTGTCTAACATACTGTTCGTTTAGAATGTATATACATTGTTGAATGGCTGACCAGTCTCCAGTCTCCTCAGTTCCCTTGCATTGTTGAGCATGGCTAGTCCTCGGGCAGTTAGGGTGAAAAGGGCACAGGGAACCCTCAGGTGGGTAAGGCTCACCAGTTTTCTCACAAGCCCTGGGAATTGGCCTATGAAGTTGCTCTCCCAGGTCTAGGAACATCCGTGGTACCAAGGCTGCTGTCTCCCTGGTCCTGTGCCTGAGTGGCCTTCTCACCACAGCCTCTTTGTTCGCAGAGAACTTCTTATCGCCCCGGCCCATGGAGAGTTTGCTTTCGTGGATAATACCAGGAAACCAGCTTTATTTTGCCTCTCTTCCCTAAGAGGAAGAGGGTGAAAAAATCTGAGTTTATTTCATTTCCTTTATACTTTGAGGTGTAGTTCAAAAGGCAACCTTCCTTGGGGGAGAAGTATGGCTGTTAGCTCCTCAGTGGGAATAAAATCCTGTGGCAGAAAAGAAAAAAAAATAGTAATAAAGAAAATGTGAAAGTCTCCTTCAAGCGTGTGGCACACTTCGGGCCTCCTTGAGCTGTTTGTTAATCCATTTCTGATTGTCATGGGGGAGAGAGCAGTCTGTTACTGAATTAAAAAGAGCCTACTGTCTTTGTAGAGGACTAGAGGTCTCCAAAAACAGAAGGAGTATGGCCAGGCTGTCATAGTGCACACCTTTAATCTCGGCTGTCAGAGGCCAGCCTGGTCTACAAAGCAAGTTTCAGGACAGCCAGAGCTACACAGAGAAACCCTGTCTCTAAAAACTGAAGAGAAAGAGAGAGAGCGAGAGTGAGCGAGAGAAAGAGAGAGAAGAAATGCAGGCAGCCACTGCTCACTGTGGGCTCCAACCCAGGTCTTTACCAGTAGATCTCTGAGTTAGGGGAGGGCGTGCATGGCCATACCTGTGCTGGAGCCCTTGTCTCTGGGTGGAGGAGACCTTCTTTATGAGATTAAAGAGGCTCCATCTTACTTAGTCTTGATAGGCTTTTATACAGACGATACTTGTGTTTTAGCGGAGGCCGTTTTAGTTGCAAAAAAGTTCAAGACTTAAACAGGATACCTAGATAAATCAATGTGCTGGCCTGAAAAACCAAGGCTTTTCAGATTTGGACTCGGTCTGTTGCAGGGACCCCGAGCAGTGTCTGCTCTCTGTCTCTTGGCTCTGCCTTCTACTGATTAGATTGATGCTAAGGCAAGTTGCCCCTGGTCTACCTGTGAGTTCTTGAAGAAGCTGTGGGTTTAAACCTAGTTGAAAAACCGTGGGGGCGTGTATCATGAGGGGCCAGCTTGTTGGGGTATCTGTCCCGCCCAGTACCCCACAACCAGCAAGTCCCAAAGAAAATAACACAGAGTCTACATTAGGTTATAAACTGATTGGCCCATTAGGTCAGGCTTCTTATTAGTCCTTGTAAATTATATTAATTCATTATCATTATCTATGTTAGCAACAGCTCAATACCTTTCTCAGTGTGACAGCTCACATGTTGCCTCTTCGGTGGTCTGGGCAGGAATGGCGGAGGGAGCTTCCTGCTTCCCAGAATACTCCCAGTCTCTTTGCTCCACCTCTACTTCCTGTCTGGCTTTCCCACCTATACTGCCTGCCTGGCCAATCAGCGTTTTATTAAAATATGATTGACAGAATACAGGCAATTCTCCTTCATCAGGGGCGGGGGTAACCTTTTCTCTGCTTCTCCTTGTTCTTTGGGACCAAGTCTCACTGTTGAGCCCAGGCTGGCTTAGCTGGTGGTGGTCCTCTTGCTTTAACCCCCTGAATGCTGGGATTACAAGTGT